AACAGGAAGTGCTGGAAAAGCTCAGCAGGTCTGGCAGCATCTGTGGAGAGAGAAGCAGATTTCTGCTCCAGAGACCCTTCTTCAGAACTCTGAAGAAGGGTCTCAGTTCCTGAAACATTAACAACAACAGCATTAACTCTGATTTCTCTCCACAGACCTGCTGAGCTTTTCCAGCAATTTCTGTTATTGTTTCTAATTTACAGCATTCGCAGTTCTTTCGGTTTTTTATCCAGTATCTGCAGTTTTTTGTTTCTTTTTTAAAAAATGCTGCTTTATGGTCAACAAGGATCGTAATGGTGATGAATTTCAAACTTTTCTTCAAACTACGAGACCATAGGAGCAGAGGTAGGTCATTCAGCCCATCGATTCTACTCCACCATTCAGGGAGATCATGGCTGATTGAATAATCCTTAACACCATTTTCCTGACTTTTCCCCATAACCCCTGATTCCTTTACTGATAAAACTCTGTCTATTTTAGCCTTGAACATACTGAAAGATTCGGTCTCTGTGGTCAAGAATTCCACAGATTTTACAACTTTCTGAGAGGAAATCAATTGCTCCACATCCCTATCCTAACTGGGTGACCGCTTACTCTGAGATTATGCCCTCTGCACCTAGATTCTCCCACAGGGGCTAAGTGTTTCTCAGCATCTATCCTGACAAGTCCCCTAAGAATCCTGTACATTTTAATAAGGTCACCTCTCATTCTTCTAAACTCCAATGCATTTTGATGTCACTGGGATATTGTCCTGAGAGCCCTCTGAACTCCCTTTTGGATGCTGTTGGTTTGTTCGTCTGCCCTAACATAGAACTGTTAACTCAGACTGTGAAAAGAATTACTCTTCTTTCAATAATTTACTTCAGAAGTGTTCAACTAAGAGAAAACATGGAAAAGAAAAGCTTGAATCTGTGCATATCCTGCGATGTTACTGTGGCTGTATGTAGGGGGATTGGAACACATAGTATTTACCCCATGAAACCTGGCCAAACATTACAAAGTACAGGAGGAAAAAAAGGAACAAATAGGCTCATTATTGCATTCCCTAATTACTCAGGCACTTGGAAAGGATGAAGGAAGGAATCGCAACATTATGTTGTGTTCCCTCAATTATCTTATAAATGGATAAAAGAGCGTGCCAATAGCTTAGCAAATTTAATCAGCCCGGAGCTAAAATCATACAGGCCCAGACAGCACTTGGCCCCATCCTTCGCTTCCACTGAATTAGCAGATATTCACTGGGAAGCCGTAGGGGAGTGACCATAAGTCTCTTTGTCCCTAAATTAGAGGAGGGCAAGAGAATAGCACAGAAATGAGCAGTTGTTGGTATCTCAGGCAGGCGATGGCCAAGTGGCCTTATCACTGGATTGTTAATCCGGAGACCCAGATAACATCTGGGGACCCGGGTTCAAATCCTGCCACGGCAGATGGTGGAATTTGAATTCAATAAATATCTGGAATTAAGAGTCTAATGATGACTGTGAATCCATTGTCGATTGTTGGGAAAAACCCATCTGGTTCACTAATGTCCTTCAGGGAAGGAAACTGCCATTCTGACCCGGTCTGGCCTACATGTGACTCCAGACCCACAGCAATGTGGTTGACTCTTAACTGCCCTCTGAAATGGCAATTAGGGATGGGCAATAAATGATGGCCTAGCCAGCGATACCCTCAGCCCGTGAATGAAACAAGGAAAAAAATTTTATGACAAGCGTCAGGATTGACTTTGTGGGGATGACCTTGTTCAGACGCTCCACAATTAAATCAACTGCCAGACTAACACTTCATGCAAGACAGGAAAGGAGCAGTCAACATCCAAGGAACTGCAACCCAATAGAGTCAATGCCTCCGAAAGAATAGGAAAAATGAACCAAAAAGAGTTCAAGTTATTAAAAAAAATGGTTTGGCAGTACAGAATTTGAGTATTGCTGGGAAAAAAAAATATTTTCCTCTTTCATCAGGACATTTTGTGAGAATAACAATTTAGAAGGGAAAATCAATGTTTATACTACATAAGAGTGCTGATTGGTTAGCAGGTGGACTCTGACTTCTTGATGCATTTGAATGAAAAATACACCCATTAATGATAACTGACAGCTAACAGCGAAGATTTTCATAAATTTCAAACAAGGCAGATTGACCCAGGTAAGAGTATTGCCCTGAGAAATGAACCAGTGAATAGCAATCACCTATGTTATTGAGTTTAAACAACCACAATGTGTGCATGTTCTTTTTGTCGGCTAAGAACAGGTCCCTATGTATGAATATATGGAGCTTCCAGTAGATGTAATTGTGCCACACTGCAAGCCCAACTGGCAATCTGAAATAGCTTGCCCATGTCATTCTTTATATACTCAGGATTATCCAGTAAATGTTGCCCAATTGCAGAACTATAATCTAAATTGGGTACCAGGTTGTGAGTCTTGCAAGCAGAGGGTGATTGGGTGTAGTCAGGAGTTTGTTGCTTGTGAACAGCCAATATGATCCATCGGTTGTTGTCTGTAATGGTCCTCATCCCTGGCATCACACCAGCAGTAAAATTCATCCACCACATTACTCATTTGGGTGATAGATCATTCTCTCTCGGCTGGACAAGAGCATTCTGTTAGTGGCAAATTTACGCTCGTGCATAGAAGCCACGTGAAACAGCTGTTTGCACCTGTCACTCAAACCTTTGGAACACGTCACCTTTCCTCAGTAAGCTGAGATAGACAGAGCATTTTTGAGGACCTAAATGACAGCTTTAAGGCTATACATGAGTTTGTACAAATATTCAGCAAGAAATGATCTGATCAGGATTATCCCTATCCCACAGGGTGACTTTGATTGGCCTTTCTCAGCATCAGGTTTGCACAGTGATAAAATGACGTGGGCCCTATTTACAAGGTCGATCATAAAGCCAATCTTACAGCAACTGGAACTGTAGGAATCCCAACGCGATTGAACAGTGAAGGTGGTTTGCAGTAGGTGCCTCTGACTAACTTTGCATTTAGCACAGTGACAAAAGGGAGCTCAACTGACTGCTTCATTTCAAACTTGAAGTTAAGAGCAGGATGAAGACATTAACATGTGTAAGGAATTCTTAAATGCAGCTTTGGATTGAAAAATAGCAAAGGCATTATCAACATATCAGAAATATGCAAGGGGTAGGAGGTCGTCATTACATTGAAGACACATGCACAAAGCTATTTTGTGAGCATTGGGCTTAGTGGGATCCCATGGTATCACCATTTATACGGGCATAAATGGCATCATTTAAACTGAACTCAACTACTACTACTGATTCACACAATAGTGTCATGTCTAGATTACCATAATACAGTGATATAGCACAGACATCTATGGCTTTGTTGAGTGCTACATTAGCTAATAGGCTAGCAACGGCTCATTTCTCAGGGCAATGTCCTGGCCAATCAAAGTCAACCTGCCTGGTTTAAAATGTAAACAAAGCTTGGTTGTTAACTGTCAATCAGCATTATTCCGTGCATTCTTCAGGGTAATACCTCTACCAATCAGAGTCCAACTTGCCAATCAATAAACACGATTAGACCATGCAACATTCAGAAATAGGAACTGGAGTAGGCTCAAAAACAGAAGTTGCTGGAAAAGCGCAGCAGGTCTGGCAGCATCTGTGAAGAGAAATCAGAGTTAACGTTTCAGATCCGGTGACCCTTCCTCAGAACAGGAGTTGGCTGTTCAGCCCCTCAAGCCTGCTTTGCCATTCAATAGGGTCATGGCTGATCTGACACTCTTCCCATCCACTTTCTTGCTCTTTCCCCATAACCTTTGATTCCCTGACTAATCATGAATCTATCTATCTCAGCCTTAAATATACTCACAGCTCTCTGTGGCAAGGAGTTCCAAAGAGTCACAACCCTCTGAGAGAAGAAATTCCTCTTCATCTCAGTCTTAAATTGGTGCTCCTTTATTCTGAGACTGTGCCCTCTGGTCCTAGCCTCTCCCATGAGGGGAAACGTCCTTTCAGCATTTACCCTGTCAACCCCTTAAGAATCTTATATGTTTCAATAAGATCACCTCTCATTCTTCTAAACTCCAGTGAGTAGGCTTCCAATCTGTTTAACCTTTTCTCATCAGATAAATCATCCTAGTGAACTTCATATAAATGTTGGCTTTACTCTTGCACTTGTATTCTTGTGAAATGTCCTGATAGGTGCAAGACGAAACACTTTGACAAGATGGGACCTTTTTCAGCAGTAAAGATATTTTCACCAGATGAAATCTACAGAAAATCTTCCATTAATATCAATGCAGACCAATAAAATACTTCAATAAATAACATTGCCAACATTACCTATTATGTGGGTTAATGGCAGGAGCATTCAGAGAATCGGCAACAGAAGTGAAGTTCTTTTGTGCCTTATGTTGGTGTCCTTAGCAAATTCTGTGGAGCTCCACAAACACTGATATCCTCCTAGAAACCAGTGATGAAGCTTCCCAAAAGTGCTGACAGCTGCCCAAGCAAAAGCAGCTATAGCAATGCAGAATTTTTAAAATTAGTGTACAGCAACCAAAACAACACTGGAAGAGGGAAACACTTGAGCAAGAATGTTGAATACAAATTTTCAAGACGGTGGTGTCACATTGTGAAATGTGTTTGGGCCCCCAGGCAGTGATAAACATTACGACTTTGGAAAATATCAGTTTGGTATTCTGTGCTTTACAAAATGATGAGATGTGCTTTCTGAAAGAGCAGGGAAAATTTCTACATTTCTTTCGTACGTTCTATATCAGTCGTCACTGCACAAACTTTACGTTAACAGCTGACTCAGCAGAAAAACTGAAAGACTCCACAACTGCATCTGTACCAGGTTACAACTTATCCTTATCTATACTTCTGTGATACAAGATCAAAATTGCAGAGCTCTCAATTAGTCCAGAATCCATGTTTGCACAATACTGCAGAAATTATAAATAAACAACCTTGAGCCTTTCAACACTGATGCCTTATAAACATACATAAAAACTGGGTTAATACTTACCAGGCAGATCCTCGATGCACGTTTGTCCATTTTTGCTGTACAGAACAGTATCCATATTCACTCCCCCTGTACCAGATTCAGTCATCACATTTCCTTCATTGTCGGTCTGTGACCTAAAAAAACAAGGCACTGTAAATATAAACCTAGTTTAATGGAGTGAACAGAGGACCCATCTGCATAATTCATCGGTCCCTTATGAAGTAATCGTACAGAAGTACAAAAATGCAGTCAACCATAGTTAAATCAGTTCCTTGCACACAAAAAAATTATTGAGTTGCAGAACAATTCAAATTATCTACCTTCTGTAACAGAAATAGTTTCAGTGGTTTACCAGCTTAACGTTTAAAGTAGAAAATTTAAATAAAACCCTATTGTACAGGATATTTGACTTTTTTTACACAAGTTAATTACATTTCTAATCAAATTATTGCTTTCCCTCGACTTCCAGTTTCTTTTCTTTTATAAACATTTAATTTCACACCTTTGGTCCAAGCAGGAAGGAAAGACATATCAATTGTGAATGGATTCTAGCACACCGCTTGCTCCTTATTCCATGAGTTCGGACCTGTTCTTTCTCCAACACTGCATCCACCCCCACCAATCCTTTGGAAAGCCACTTTTCTGACTTCCCTTGCAAAGAAAAATAATGAGGTCAGAAGAGGCAGCTGCACAGAGGACTGGGAGCCACTCCAAAGTAGTTACTGCAAAAGAACCGAGCAGCCCTGTCTTCACAAGTCTTGGCAAAGCAATTGGATAAGGAAGAGGGAGGGCCTAGCTCAATTAGGATGTACAACACTCTTGCAACACTAATGCAGAATTCAGACAACCGAGAGGCAAGTTAATGGTACTCCCCAAAATTTTGTTGAAAACATCTTTCACCTTTTGCTCGAGCAACTGAAAACCCTGATTTTTTTTGTCTTGTGGTAAATTTTAATGACAAACGAGATGTTCCAAAGGACCGGTGAGTCCAGAACCAGGGCTCACAGTCCAAGGATACTGGCTAGGCCATATAGGACTGAGATGAGGAGAAATGTCTTCACCTAGAATTCTCTGCCACAGAAAACTGCTGAGGCCAAAATATTGACTGCTGTCAGGAAGGAATTAAGTAGAGTTCTTAGGGCTAAAGAGCTCAAAGGGTATAGGGATCAGGAGACTGAGTTGGATGATCAGCCATGATCAGACAGAATGACAGAGCAGGCTCAAAGGGATGGATGGCCAATTCCTGATCCAGTTTTCAATCTTTCTCTGTTTCTATTTTGTCCCCCTCCCAGCTCCTTCCAAGGGTGATGATATGTGTTAAGGGTATCGTTGCCCGCTGCGTGATCTCAGTCCTTCAGTATTCTTGGTAACAGGACATACTCCACATGTGAGCGTGAACGTCCTGTCTCCAGGCGATTCCAGAGGGGGACCGGCACAAAGGAGCTCAATGCCATTGTCTGTGTTCCAGGCAGGCCACAGGTTCGGGCAGACCATGCTGCCAAGTAGTCAGGGTTGAGAAACTGATCTCCTTGGTGACTGGTTGATACTATCCTGAGGCTTGGAGGGAAGCAGAGACTCACTGTGACAACCCAGCTGTTTCTCACAGCAGTGAACTCAACACAGAAAGCAGAACCCAAAACCAGCTCTCCACTTTGCTCAGGGAGTTAATAAAGCAGCTTGAGCCAGGCAGACAAGACCAAGGAAGCTCTACTGACCGGACACAATGGATATTGAATGTTGAATGCTTTCAGGGAGGAGTTAGATATAGTTCTTATGGCTAAAGGCATCAATGCGAATGGGGGAGAAAACAGGAACAGGGGACTGAGTTGGATGATCAGCCATGAGCATAATGAAAGGTGGAACAGGCTTAAAGGGCTGAATGGCCTACTCCTGCTCTTATTTTCTATGTTTCTACATAAAAGCTCCAGTCAACTTTAGTAATTCCAGAATGGGGAGCAGGAAATCAATCCACATTTCACCTCTTGCTCCTGCTAGGGGGAAATGTCAGCGGAGGGTAAGACAGGATTTGACTGTGATGGTCACTGCAGTTCAAATTACCTCCCAAATGGGACCAGGTTTACAGTTCGCCACTCAGCAAAGGTTCTGGAGGGTGACTGTGTTGTTATCATGCACAAATGAGACAATCCCTTGAGAAAGGAAGGGCTGGGCAAAATATGGGAGGAAATAATGAAACTGGAATAACCTAGGACCTTCTGTGGTATTTCTTTTTATTCATTCATGGGATGTGGGCATTGCTGATTGGTCCAGCATTTCTTGCCTATCCCTAATTGCCCTTGAGAAGGTGGCGGTGAGCTGGCTTCTCGAACCGCTGCAGTCCACCTGCTATAGTTTGACCCACAATGCTATTAGGAAGGGAATTCCAGGATTTTGACCCAGCAACACTGAAGGAATGGCGATATATTTCCAAGTCAGGATGGTGAGTGGCTTGGTGGGGAACTTGCAGGGGGTGGTGTTCCCATTTCTTTCTAGATGGAAGTGTCGTGAGTTTGGAAGGTATTGACTAAGGAGCCTTGTGAATCTCAGTGCTGCATTTTGTAGATAGTACACACTGCTGCTACTGAGCCTCAGTGGTGGAGGGAATGGATGCTTGTGGATGTAGTGCCTTTCAACTGTGTATTTAATTATTACAGAAGCAATTCATGGCAAACACTATTGCGATCTGAAGGGTTATCTGCTTAATTATAACCAAGCATTTATTATTGCATTTGTCCAATGTCACATTTATCAAATCAAGACAAAACATTAGAACAGTTTATGGTGCACAGTGCTGAATAATTCCCACCTATCATATTTCAATGTGCAAGATGTGAGGCATACCTGTACATGAATGGAGCAACAGTGGCAGTGTTGGGGTGGTTGTACTGGTGTTGTGGGTGAGGTAGCTGTACACTGACTGTGTTGCTTCCTGTAGTTTGTGTTGTGCTGACTGTAGTGGCAGTCGCAACATTGCTACTGCTTGTCGGGGGTGTTCCTCCAGCCCCTTTCCCCTCCGAGGAGGCCAAACTACTGGAACTGGAATTCTTACTGTCTAGCTGTGATTTCTGCAGCGAGATTCCAGCACTAAGCCTCGCACTGCGGGGTCGCTCGGCCTCCTTCACAGAAGCTTGGGCACTTGTAGATTTCCCTGTTGAGGTTTTTAGCCCTGGTTTTGGTATTCCACTTTGCTGAGGTGCAGGGGGATCCTTTTTGGCACCATTCGATTTCCCTCCTTTCGGGATAAAGCTCGAGAGTTTGGAGGACTTTTTTGGCATTTCGGAAGCAGTGACCTGTGGCCCCTCTTTCAGCTCCTTTTCCAATTCAGCTTTATCAGAGCCAGAAGTCCTTTTGGAGGTCTCCTTCGTTTTGTCCCTCTCTTTCTCCTTCTGCTTCTCTTTTTCCTTTTCGCTGCCTTTTGGGGAGTTTTTCTTATTGCTCAGTGCTCGGCTGATGGTTCTTTGTGCAATGCCTTTTAGTGCAATCTTTGGGCTGTTTGAGGCAGGTGCGGCATTGCTAACACATCTGGCAGACGCGTCTGTTTCACCCAGGTCCACACAGTTAGAAGGGGCCTCCACCCTCTCACAGCTGCCATCGCGAGACCCTGAGTTCTCCAGGGTGGCCCCAACAGCTTTGGAGCCACCTTTACTGTTGAACAGCTTCAATTTCTCCAGCATGGATTTCTGGCCATTGGCACCAGACTTGGGTGTGGGTTCAATGGCTGGCTTCGGGGGTTCCTGTGGGGGCGGCTTCACAGATAACATGGAAGACGTGGCAGTGTGCTTGGCATTGAGGGATTTGCTGCGCCAGGCTTTGGCAGAGTTTGGCTGGGGAATGGCAGACAAGCTCCCACCAATACTGCCCGTGCTGCTACTCGCTGAAGACTGGACATTTTCATTCATTCCGGGCTGTGAGGAGACTGTGTTGTCCGCTGGCTCTGCAACTGAAACAGGAAACAACCATAAGTGGAGCAAGTTTGCAAACTTTCCTGCACCTTCAGCTTCCTTCCATAAAAGGCAAGCTCTCATTTAAAATACTTAAATCAGAGGACTGTCAATTTGTCTTGGCCCGAGACTGCACTGCTAAACATATCGACATTTTAAATAAATATGTCGTGCTTAATGTATTTTTCCAAACTTATGTTAACAGTAACAGGCACATCAATGAAAGACAGTTTTCAAATTACAACCCTGTTCGCTCTCTGAAATATAAAAATAATCACATAACAACAGGAGCCAACCGAAACTGGGGAGGTGAGTCAAACAGGATGATAAGGATTGCTTTGTTCAGAGGGTGACAGCACAGTATATTTTTTTTCACTAATATTCATTCGTGGGATGTGGGCATCACTGGCTGGGTCAGTATTTAATGCCCGTCCCTAACTGTCCTGTTCAAGGTGGTGGTGAGCTGTCTCCTTGAACCACTACAGTGCTCAGGACGTAGGGACATCCACAGTGCTGTTACAGAGGGTGTTCCAGCGTTTTGAACATGTCACTTGATCAGACATCACATCGTATTAGTGCAGTGTGCTAACGCTTTCAAGTGGAGGGAGCTATCTGCAAGTTTTATCACTGGAGCAAGTGGAACTTAAACCTGCATCTTCTGGCTCAGAGTTCGGGGCACTACTACTGCATGACAAGAGCTCCTAATTGCATCAGTTTTATGCTGTGGGAATAACTTCAATCTAGACACAGCATCAGCAAGTCTTTTCTACTAACCCCTTGAAGTTGGGTAAAATGCGGCATAAATGCAAATATTATTCCCCCTTAAGACCTTAAGAAGGAATGGAACAAAAGCAAAGTACGACATAAGCTGGTAATCCGCTACAGAAACAGAAAATATTGCTACAGTCAGCAACGTCTCAAATCGATGACCCATGAGTTATTAAAACAGTGAACAGCTGAGCTATTCAAACCAGGCAGCTCTAAGATTTGACGTACTACCTGTTCAGAGGTAGCAGTTCACAGACTGTGAGTTGGACTATAAAGTTCATCTCAACACTATTCAGTTTGCAAGACAAGAGAGAACCCAGCCCTCACTCATAATTCCTAGCAATCTTGGGCAAAGTAGTCAAGGGCACCTAGTCTCTCTACAACTATGCATTATGAGAAATAAACTAGCAAGGGTTGCAACAGCGGGTTAAGGAGAGTTCAGAAAAAAGTCGCTCAATGTATTTGCACTTAGATTACAGCTTTCTGGTTCTCAGGTCAATCTAAATGCTTTACAGGCAATGATGTGTAAAATAGGAAACACAACGGTCAATTTGCACACAGCAAGCTCTCACAAACAGTGACATGGTAGTGTCAAGATAATAGGTTTTAATGAAGTTTTTCAGAGATAGCAAGAACTGCAGATGCAAAAGTCAGAGCCAATACAGTGCGGAGCGGGAGGAACGCAGCAGGTCAGGCAGCATCAGAGGAGCAGGAGAGTCGAAGTTTCAGGCCTGGACCCTTCATCAGAACTGGGGAGAGGGAAGGGAGCTGGGAAATAAATGGAGAGAGGAGGACTGGGGCTGGGATGGTGATGGGTGGATGCATGTAGGGGTAGTGGGGATTGGTCAGTGGGATGGTTGGGGTGGATAGGTGGGGAAGAAGATGGACAGGCAATGTCAGGTCAAGTAGGCGGGGATAAGAGGGACGGTTAGACATGGGATGAGGCCGAGGGTGGAGAGATTTTAAAACTGGTGAATTCTATGTTGAGACCATTGGGCTGTAGGCTCCCGAGGTAGAATATGAGGTGCTGCTCCTCCAGTTTGCGTGCAGCATCATTGTGACACTGGAGGAGGTCCAGGATGGACTTGTCACCCAGGGAGTGGGAGGGGGAGTTAAAATGGTTGGTGACTGAAAGGTGTTGTTGATTATAGCATACAGAGCGCAGGTGCTTCACAAATAGGTCACCGAGTCTGCGTTTGGTCTCACTGATGTAGAGGAGACCACATCGGGAGCAACGAATACAGTAGATCAGGTTGGACGATGTACAGGTGAACCCCTGTCTGAGATGGAATGTTTGTCTGGGGCCTTGGATGAAGGTGAGGAGGGGGGGAGGTGTAGGGGCAGGTGTAGCATTTCCTGCGGTTGCAGGGAACGGTGCTGGGTGTGGTGGGGTTGGTGGGGAGTGTGGAGCGGACAAGGGAGTCCCGGAGAGAGTGGTCCCTCCGGAAAGCAGATAAGGGTGGGGAGGGAAATATCTCTTTGGTCATGGGGTTGGATTGTAAGTGGCGGAAACGGCGGAAGATGATACGCTGGATGCGGAAGTTGGTGGGGTGAAGGTGAGGACTGGGGGACTGTATCTTTATTTTTTAGAGGGGGGGGTTTGAAGGCAGAAGTGCGGGAAATGCAAGAGATGCCATTGAGGGCATTTTGGATCAACAGAGGAGGGAAGTTGCGGTCCTTGAAGTACTCTAAGCTATAAATGTTGTCAATAACAGTGAGGATAATTACCCATTCTTCTTTGAAGTAGTGCCATGCGATCTTTTAAGCCAATCCGAGAGAACAGAAAGTGAGTCAGGTTTACCATCTCAATCAGAAGTCAGACCCTCCAATACTGCAGCAGTTTCTCAGTACGTCGCAGACAAAGGGCAGCCCAGATTTGTATGTTTAAATCTTCTGTCTCAGAGTGAGTGTGTTACCAACTGAGGCACAGCAAAGTATACAGAGATTTCCTAATTAAGATTGTGTTTTCTTAAATAATCCTCTCTTTCATCTTTGCCAGCAGTTTTTAGGCAGAGAGGCACTTGCTGCTTTCTCTCAAAAGGTCAGAATTGAAGATGTGCATGGCTAGGCAAAAATGGCCACCGAGCAACGAACCAATGGACATGCCTCCATTTGGGGGCCAACCATTTTCACAAGGGGTGGGGGAGGGGTAGGCACTTGAAAACCACCTGCTCATGTGAAGGAGCTATTTTCTTGTTTCACTCATTCACGGGATGTGTGCATCACAGGCTATGGCCGGAATTCATTGTCCATCCCCAATTACCCACTCAGCAGTTAAGAGTCAGACACATTGCTGTGGTTCTGAAGTCACATGTAGGTCAGACCAGGTAAGGATGGCAGGTCTCCTTCCCTAAAGGACATTAGTGAACCAAATAGGTTTTTCCTGACAATCGACAACTGTTTCATGCTCATCATTAGACTCTAAAATCCAGACTTTTGTTGAATTCAAATTCCACCATCCGTCGTTGATGGTGTTGTGGGCTCATTTGGGGCACAGATCCAGTCATGGTTCAGGGAGGCTGCTAGATGTTGGCAGCAGTCAGATTGTACAAAGCTACATGGATTAGAGGCAGAGGAAATGTAAGTAAAATGGTTTTGCCTTCCTGACAATTTATCATTCGAGGCTGTCATATGAGTGGCATCTATGCTAATTAAGTCATGACAGTGCTGTAATTGAAGATGAACAATCCATTAAACAATGGGTGGAATTTAATGTTCCGTTAAAGGCAAATTCAGAATAAATGAAACAATTAGGAGCTGGAGTCAACCACTCTGCCCTTGAAATGCTCTGTCATTCAATAAGATCATGGCTGATACAATCACTCTGTATTCTCACTTATCCCTGCTGACCTTTCACTTCCTTGCTTATCAAGAATCTACCTACCTCTGCCTTTAAAATATTCAAAAACTCTGTTTCATCTGCCTTTTTAATGAAGACAGCAATTACATTAAGGGCAAAAGGTTAACTAGGGACAGCGTAGGGCTCCTTAAAGATCCGCAAGGTTGCCTATGTGTGGAACCACAGGAGATAGGGGAGATACTAAACAAGTATTTTGCATCAGTGTTTACCGTGGAGAAGGATATGGAAGATACAGAACATGGGGAAACAGACAGTGACATCTTGAAAAATGTCCATATTACAGAGGAAGGGGAGGTGCTGGATGTCTTAAAACACATAGAGGAGGATAAATCCCCAGGATCTGATCAGGTGTACCCTAGAACTCTGTGGGAAGCTAGGGATGAGATTGCTGGGCCCCTTGGTGAGGTATCTATATCATCGATAGTCACAGGTGAGGTGCCAGAAGACTAGAGGTTGACAAAAGTGGCGCCACTATTTAAGAAAGGTGGTAAGGAAAAGCCAGGGAACTATAGACCGGTGAGCCTGACATCAGTGGTGGGCAAGTTGTTGGAGGGAATTCTGAGGAACAGGATTGACATGTACTTGGAAAGGCAAGGACTGATGAGGGATAGTCAAGATGGCTTTGTGCACAGGAAATTGCATCTCACTGACTTGATTGAGTTTTTTGAAGAAGTAATGAAGAGAATTGATGAGGGCAGAGCAGTGGACGTGATCTATATGGATTTCAGTAAGGTGTTCAACCAAGTTCCTCATGGTAGACTGGTTAGCAAGGTTTGACCATAATGCAAGGTGAACTAGCTATTTGGATATAGAACTGGCTCGAGGTTGATGAAAGAGAGTGGTGGTGGAGCGTTGCTTTTCAGACTGGAGGCCTGTGACCAGTGGTGTGTCACCAGGATCGGTGCTGGGTCCACTGCTTTTTGTCATTTATATAAATGACTTCAATGTGAACAAAGGAGGTATGGTTCATAAGTTTACAGATGGGCACCAAAATTGGAGGTGTAGTAGACAGCTAAAAACGTTACGTCAGAGTACAACAGGATCTTGATCAGATGGACCAATGGGTCAAGGAGTCGCAGATGGAATTTACTTTAGATAAATGTGAGGTGTTGCATTTTGGAAAGGCAAATCAGGGCAGGACTTATACACTTAATGGTAAAGTCCTGGGGAGTGTTGCTGAGCAAAGGGACCTTGGAGTGCAGGTTCATAGCTCCTTGAAGTGGAGTTGCAGGTAAACAGGGTAGTGAAGAAGGCATTTGGTACGCTTACCTTTATTGGTCAGTGCATTGAGTAGAGGAGTTGGGAGGTCATGTTGCCACTGTACAGGACATTGGTTAGGCCACTATTGGAATACTGCATGCAATTCTGGTC